GGTGTCAGCTGTGCAGGTGTGTCTGAACATCAAAGCAGTGCGTCATCCCGCGAAGGGAGGCGCCCCAACTGACTGCGTGTACACCCCCGCGCTCCCGCGCATGAGACCGCGTTGCAACCCCGGGTCACCCCCTTTCACGGGCACCCCCCCTCCCAAAAGAATACACCTGCACCCATACACACACTTATCCACAAACATGCACACACACATGTGCCTCTACAACCCCAGTTTTACGGCGTCCCCACATCCCCCGGCAAGTCGCGCATCTTCGCCGGTTTCGTGTCCAACATGAAGCTGCCCCCGCTGGTGGCGCAGCTGTCTGGCAGGTTCCAGTGGGTCTTCCACCTGGGGCAGCAGGTGGTGCTGGACTCTGATGCCTACCTGCTGCACGTGCAGGTGCGCGTGTGCGCGTGCTGTGCGTGTGTTAGGGTGTGTGTCTGAGGGTGTGTGGGTGCGTGCGTGTGTGCTCGAAAACGGGGGAAAGATCGGGCGTGCGAACGCAATGCCTTGGGACATCATTGGCGGCGTGGCCAACCGGGTTGCACAACAGGGAGGGTGTGGGGGCCGCGCATCGCGGGGGGAGGAGGTGTGGAGTAGAGTGCGTGGACGGGTGGCGTAGCGTTGAGCGCGTGTGCATGCGCAAGGTAGTGGATCCGTGCATGCTTGCGCTGGCGATCGCGCGTTAGCCGCGGAGGCGGCAGGCCTGCTCGTTGCATGCCGTGCATCGGTGCGTTATGCTATCAGAACAAGACCGGTGACGGCGGCGTTCACTAAGGATCTCAAACGATGCAAGGTTGCCAACAACACACCACTTGACCGGCGACCAGCGCCACGGCCAACCCCCTTTCTTGCTGACCGGGCCCCCGTGCACCCAGGAGCGGCTGCTGAAGCAGTCCCCTGGCGGCTGGAAGCGCAGCTTCTTCATGCCGGCGTCTGCAGACACAGGCGTAATCAAGTTCAGGTGGGCCGGGCGAGCACCTTGCACGCACATGCGTGTGAATGCGCTCGTTCGCGCGTGTGCGTGCATTGCTGGTGAGTTGGCGGTAACTGCCTGCCCATCTGCATTGCTTTTCTGCGTATAACGCCAACTTTCCGCTGTCAGTCGACCGTTGCCGCGGCGGGCGCAAACCTGCCGCCGATCTTCGGCTTGCAAGGGGTGGCCCCCTATCCGATCCGTCCCGCTGAACCTTTGCTTTCTTCCACCCCCTTGTGTGGCCGCCGATCAGGTCCTGGTTCGATGAGGTGGGCGGCGGCGCAGTCCAGTGGCCCGCGGGCATGTCCACCAGCTTGGGCCCCACCCTGCCGCGGGAAGTCGTCATGGACAGGTGGGGCGGGTGCCGGCGGCTCGTGTGTCGGGAAGCAGGAGGGGCTTCTGGGCAGTACAGTGGACAAATTGCAGGTGAGTAGCCGGCGCGTCCGCCCTGAAGGCCCGCGGCCGCTGGATTCGCAGCGGCTTTGGATGGTGACGCTCATCTCAACAAGCCCACCCCCAACGAACCCCGCAGGTATTCCCAGCACGTCAAGTCCTGCAAGTCCTGCCGCAGCGCAGTCACCTGGATAGAGCGCCTCCAGGCCGCCTGCACCGCCCTCGCCGCCGTCGCCGCGCCCATCGGCGTGTGGACGTTGCTGCTGCAGGCCGCCGCCAGGACTGCCCTGGGGCAGCAGGCGGCTGTCGTGCCTGCTGCGGCGGGCGCCCTGGGGGCCGCGCTCGGGTGGCCCATGATCCTTGTGGCTGCGGCGGCGCTGTTCGCGCGCCACAAGCTGCAGGGGCTCTGGCGCAAGTTCCACTTCACTGACTACGTACACGCTGACGTGGAGTGACGAGCTGACGTGGATTGACGACTGGGCCTGGAGGCTAATTGGTCTCTCAGGGACTTTGCTGATGCTTTGCACAGCGACAGGGCCGCCTGCTGGGCACGTGCATTTTGTTGACCATTTGTTGTATGCATGCGGCTGGCCGCCGGCTGAGATGCTGCAGTGTTGACCTGCGCAATTTTGCTTAATTTGGTCTGTCTGCCATCGTGCATTGTGTTCTACGTACACGTGTGCGTCTTGCCCTGCTCTTGTTGTGGGTCTGTGACAACCCGTTGATCGTATGCCTGTAACGCAGTCTTCGGGGTTGTCCGTATGAGGAAAGATGGGCTGATATTACTATTGCCCTTACGCCTTTCAAGCAGGTGAGCGCAGTAACAGATGGGTTGAAACGTCGAGGGCGACAACAGATTCAAATAAAGAACAGGTACGACAAAAGCGCCGCTGGCTGCCCCCCAATGCACGGCTCTCGCAACGCAGGGGGTTTCATGGCACTCATGCCCCAACCGTCACCCCACCGCCGCCGCCGCCGCCGCCGCTGCCACGGGCCGTCGCCCCGCCTGCTTTGGTCGTGGCAGTTGCTCTCATGCCGGCAATCTTGCCAAAGCTGATGGTTGGGCCGCTGCGTTGATTTACGAGGGGTGTTGGTATATGCCCATCAGTTGAGGAGGTGAAGGGGCAGCGGCATACTTGGCTGGGGGCGTGGTTGTGGACGGCACGGTTACAGCACAACAGTGACTGTTTGGCCTTCGCGCCGGCAGTCACGGGCCCGCACGTGCAACAAGCAACCGCGGCGCGGGCTGCAGCCCGCAGCAGCACCCTTCAACGCTCCCCGCCCGCCCTTGCTCACTTGAACATCGCCGACACCGCCTCCGCCATGGCCCTGTTCGCGGTCAGGTCCGCCGGCCGGTCCTTGAACTCAGACCCGTAGCTGGTGGCCCACTGCGGCGCCGCCTGCACGCCCGCCTTGCTGAGGGGGATGTGGCTGACGTGGCGGGCGGCGCGGCTCGCCTCGATCTGGTCGCGGGCGCCGGCCACGGCGCGCAGCATGGCGGCGTGGTCCCTGCGGCGATGGTGGGAGTCCGCCTGCGTATGAGTATTGCAAGCCTCACGAGCCGTATTGCAATAGCATGGCTATCCTGGCATTGGCAAGCGGTTGACCGCTTTCTTGGAGCCTAGGTTAAAACCTGCAGGTACACGGCAGCGCAGGCTGTCTGTAGAGGGGCGCACCTCGGCCGATACGAGAGGCGGTTGGTGGTCTTGGCGTCGGCGTCGGAGGGGGCCTCGCCAAGGGTGCGCCGCGGCTCCACAAAGCGCTGGGGGATCGGGTACACCGCACTGGACTGCGGGTAACGCACCTGTGTTGGGAGGTGTGCGTGCGCGTGTGAGGGGTCGCGTGGCGAGGTCACGTGCACACGTGCGTGTTGAGCAGCGCGTCTTCGTTGTCGCATGGGACGCCAGGTTGGGATCCCAACTGATAAGCTGGCACCAAGCACGCAGCTGTATTCATTGGCTGAGTACACATTGAACAATGGAGGGCGGCGCTGTTGAGTTTTGCGCAACGCAGGCAGGTGGCACTCGCTTGCCCACCTCGTCCACGTGGCCCCAGCCCGCGTTGACCTCCGGGAATACGACTCGGTGCATCTGGGAGGGAGCAAGGGGTCAGAGAGGGTCGGAACGCTCTGCGTTGTCAGGCCCCTGATTGGAAGATGGAACCAGCATGATGCACACCACCGATCAACGGGACTGCACGGCAGACGCGGGCGCTCCCGGGGGCAGCAACAAGGCGGCAGCGGGGCCTGACCTGCGCCGTGCGCGAGGGGTGGGAGCCGAATGCTGATGTGTACGAGCTCGTGGCGGGGTACAGCTCGGCGCACGCCCACTTCAGGGGGCACTTGCTGCTGAGGGTCTCGACCAGGTCTGACGCCTTGGCGGCACCCTTGGCAGCACTAGGACGGCGCCGCGGCGCAGCCGCGGTGGCCGCCGCGGCACCTGTGTGCAGGCATTGCACAGCGGCAGGGGTACCAGGAGGGCGGCGGTGACATCAGCAGCAAGTGGCTGGGCGCTGCTAACGCATGAAATGCAACGGGCGCCCGGGCGTGTCGCTTCCGCTGCGAGCCCTGTCGGCTCCAAAGCTCTCACCTGTCGCCTCAGGAGCCTGCTCGGTGCCAGCATCCCCTGCTGACCCAGCAGGGTCCACCGCCGCCGCCGCCGCCGCAGGCTGGGTGTGCGCCGTGTGTTTAAACCCCTTGACCTCCACCTTGCGCGGCGCGCCCATGGTTCTGTTGGCAGGGAAAAGGGTTGTAGAGAGGCCACGCTCTCGTCAGTTGACAATGGTGTGACACGTGAGTCTGCTCTGACTCTCGCTGTGCGAACGTTGCCGCAGCTGCGTTGCACGCGCGCTAAGACACGCAACGATGAGCCTCTCGTGCGGCCATGGCAGGCTACGGTGAGGGGGGCGCAGCGGCAGACGGGCCGGCGCCGCGGCCCCCGCCGGCCGCTCACTTGATGCGGGTCTGCTCCTTGAGGAGGCGCGTCGTCTCTGCATCCTCCGCGCTGTACTGGGGGCAGTGCAGCTCATGCGACACGGGCTTGGAGCTGGCGGCAGGGGGAAGAGGGGCACGGGAGAGATGCAGGGTGGGGTGGGGTGGTTGGGCTGGGCAAGCAGTTTGCGGGGCCCCGTCAGGCGAGGGGGGTTGGGACATGTATGGCCTCAGGGCGTGAGCGGAAGGGTGGGGCGATAAATTGGTGACACGAAATCGCTCACAGCAGCCGCTCAAGCACTGGGGTCAGCGCTAGCGCCACACGCCAGCGTCGCGAACTCGCACGCGTGCGCTGCATGCCACTGCGCAACCTCGGGGATCCTACGGTCAGCAGCTGCCTGCCCACCTTTCGGGCTGCACCACCGCGCTGAGCTGGCGCAGCAGCTCCACCAGCTCCGTCTTCTGGGGCCCCGGCAGCTGCCCCAGCAGCGCCACGACGCCGTCCGTGGCGGCGGGGGTCAGCAGGCCCTCGCAGTAGGTGCGCTGCTTGGCCACCCAGGACGCCAGCGCGCGCTGCTGGCGCACGCGGAAGTCGTCGGTCTGGCGGACGAGGGCACCGGCAGAGGGGACAAATGTGGGGGGGATTCAGTAGGGCAGTGAGGTTGAAGGGTGAATCGATGGTGCCGGCGATTGTTTTGAACACAGGAGCAGAGTATGTGCGTGTTTGGGGGGGGTCGGGGGGCGCTCACCGTAACAACGGATGGCGGTGATATCAAGCAGATTTCTGTTGGTGGTTGAGAGCTCATGCGACTCGCACACCACAATCCTGACACAAACGCCTCACCGGCTTGTGTACTTGTGCGTTGGCCACAGTGTAGGAGCTGTCCAGGAATGGCGCCCAGGTCTCCTCAGAGCCTTTGCGCAGGGACTCGCCCCTGCGGACCACAAACGCGTAGTGTCAAAACGCGTCACGCAAACCCGCACCAAACCGCCGCCGGCTTCGCCCCTGGCCGCCGCAGCCTCAACCATGGCCCAGGTTCAGAGGCCTCGGACAGCCACAAATGCAACATCCACCACCTGGCCCAGCACTAAGCCTTCAAGGGCCCGCATCCCTCCGCTTCCCCCCTGCCCCTGCCCGCCCACCAGTCGCTGACAAAATTCTTGTTGGGGGCCGCCTCGGGGCGGCAGATGGGCAGCGTGTTGGCCCACAGATCAGGGTACAGGTCCTTGAGCCCATAGGACGCCGCCGACGAGGTTATGTCCAGGGGACCCATCTTAGGCGCCGGCGGGGCCGCCGCGGCCGCCGCCGCGCGAGCTGACAGGGTGGCAGTCGCCGAGAGCCGTGGGGGCTCGGCGGCGGCGGCGGCGGCGGTGGGGACGCCGAGGGGCAAGCGCAGGCCGGCAGAGGCGGCGGGGCGTGGGGCCGCGGCTGGCGCGGTGGCATCTGGTGGCGCGGCTGACGCTGTGGATGGCCGCTGGTTCAGGCTGCGCGTTGCGCCTCCGCGCCCTGCTCCAAGGGTGGCTGTGTGCAGCCACGACGCGGCCGCGGCCGATTCAGGCCGGGCCGCGGCTGCCGCGGCCGCAGCGCGGGTCGCTCCTGTCCCCAGCCGCGCGGCGGCGGCGCACGCCGGCGCCGACGCCAGGCGCGCCCTCCGCGCCGCCGTCTCCAGCGCCCCGGCCGTGGCGGCCTCCGGGATGTCCGACCAGAGTGGCGCGCGTCGGCTGCGCGCGGTGCTGCCGCCGCTGGCGCCGCCGCTGCTGGCGGCGCTGCGGGCGGTGCCGAGTTGCTGCACCTCAAGCGCCGCCCTCTGCCGCGCAGCTGCCGTGGAAGCTTCCTGGACCAGGGCGAAGTACCTGGTGTACCGCGCCCGCTCCTCGGGCGTCGCGCGGCACTGCAGCCACCGCGCCACCTCCTCCTGGAAGCGGCGCTGCGCGTACAGGTCAGTCCCAGACGTGGTCTGGCGCAGCTGGGGCGCCCCCATTATGCCAGGCACGACGCGCCGCTACGACGCCGATGCGTGCGCTCACGCTCGCGCCGTGGCCAACGCACAGACGTCGCAGGTCGCTGCGCAAGCGGAGCAGGGGCAGGGAATTCATCGAAGAGTTTGAATTCCCTTTTTTGTCTTGTTATTATGCCGTTCGTGGTATATGGCGTTCCTCTGCGGCGCATCATCAAATTTTTTGCGACACAAGCTCAGCACCGCACACCTGTTTCTTACAGATGATTAATCATCAACCTCTCTCGACACTGCAAGACCTGCTCGTCGATGTGCAGATGATACGTACACGAGATGCTGTGAGGCAGTTTTCGACACCCCTCGGCGCGTACACGGGGTGATGTATGCGTATGTGCATCATTGATTACACTGTATTGTCTACTGGGCATGAAAGGCGCTGTGCAGCAATCGATCTCGGCAGTCAACATGGTGCTCTGAGCAGTCAATGCAGATGCTGTCATGTTTGATTGGGAGCAGTGCTACTGGTGCAGGGCAGCAGATCTGCACAGCAGCAGAGATCGCCTAAAATCTTACTATTTGAGGGCGCCTGAGGTTGAGTCGCCGCCCAGGAGGCCCTCAAATTGCTTCAACAGAGGTGGCAGGCCCTCGCTGAGCATGAACATCAGAATGCCTTTGTGGGGAGGAAGGTGTGTGAGGTGAGGGAGGCGTGAGAGTTGGGAGTGGGGGAAACTACCAGAGTACACAGAGTGCTGCAGGTTGAATGGTGAGTCGGCAGCGGATGCATCAAGCAAGCGTAGTGCTGTTGAGGCCCTGAAAAAGTCCACTCGATCCGTACCCAGCACGCGCTCGCTAAGACCCACCTCCAGCGATGCCGACGTTCAGGCTCTCCATCTGCCCCACCATGGGTATAGCCACCGGGCGGCACACCCGCAGCGCCGTCTGCGAGAGCCCCTGCCCCTCGCTGCCGAGCACCAGGCACACAGCCTGCTCCAGCTGCCGGTCTCCCTGCCCCCCACGCCGCCGCCGCTCCTCCCCGGCCTGCGCCTCCGCCTCCTGCGGCTCAGCAGCCAACAGAAGCAGGCCGCCGTCGTCAGAGAGCGCCTCCAGCTCGCCCCAGCTGCACTCCGCCAGCGGCAGCCGCAGCGCCGCGCCTCTGCTCGCCCTGAGGGCCTTTTCATTGAACGGGTCGCAGCAGCCCGGCAGCAGCACCACCCCATCCCTGCGGCGCAAGGGGCGCCAAATGTTTGCAGACGGGAGAGCGAAAGCAGGAGGTGCTCAGGGCAAAGCAGGAGCAGGCACCCGACATACAGCGGCTTTGGCACTTGTGCAGGTTACTTATGCCCACCTGCAGCACGGGCACCCACCAGCCAAACGCCATGGCGCATCTCAGCAGGGTCCCCAGGTTCCCCGGGTCCTGCACCGCCTCCAGCGCCAGCAGCCGCCGCAGCCGCCGCGGCCGCTCCGCCGCCAGCTCGCCGCCCTGCTCCCCGCCCGCCCGCTGCTGCCCCTGCGCCACCGTCGCAGGCTCCTCTGCACGCGGCCCGTCCTCGGTGGCCGCCGCGGGCAGGCCAAAGAGGGCCCTGAGCTCTGCCACTTTGAGCAGCCCCTGCCCTGCCACGTTGAGCTCGACGATGACGTCACCAGGGCTGATGGTTTCGAGGCCGCTGATCTTCAGCGCGACCGCCTCACTGATCCGTACCACGCGCTCCGGCTGGAGGCTGGGGGGCAGCGGCGAGGGCGCGCCGGGCTGCAGCAGGAGCGCGGCCACGCGCAGCTGCGCGCCGCACTCTGTTATGCAGAGTGGCAAGGAGGGTCAAGGCGGGTAACATTTGGAGGGGGAGGGGCCGCATGGGAGGGCGAGCATGCGGGGCGCGGTCGGTGCCGGCGCGCAGCTGCCCCTGCTTTGGTGGCTGCTCGGGAAGGCAAAAACCAGTGCCGTTGTGCTCACAGCCGCTGGTTCAGGGCACACCTGCGAGCTCCCTCACGATGGTCGAGCCCACCAGCAGCAGCTTCCCCTTTTGGTGCCTGTATCGCGCCTTCTCCCGCAGCCGCACCAAGTGCTTCACATAGTTATTGGTGATGCTGGTGATGGATTCCTCCGTGATGACTGTGCCGGCTGCAGCGCTATCAGGGTTGTGGTGAGCTGCATCCACGGCCGCAACGCCAACTAGACCGCCGCAACGCCGCCCACGCCTGGCGGCAGCCGGCGCGAGGACCGCTGCGCAGAGCCCCAATGGCGGCGGCCAACGCTGTGACGCAAGGACAGCCCTTTGCGCCAGCGCCCTCATATTATATATCCTCGCCACAGCACTGCGCGCCCTGTCACTGGTGGCACTCGTCAATCGATCTAGGACATCATTGGGCCTCCGGAATCGCTATTTTGTGTTTTGAAAGAGACCCACAAACTCAAAGCAAACAGTATATGCAGCGCGTATGTCGGTCTTCTGATCTGCGGGCTTTTCCATTCTTCCTGTGTGCGACGAGGTCACAACTCCTAGAGTGCGCTGTGCACCAGCATCAGAAGCCCGTTGGTATGGAGCTGTCACGGATCCGAGCAGCGCCCCGTGCGCCACGCACAGCTAGTCGTGTCCCCAAGGTGCGCCCAGCACACCGGGTCCCAGAGCACACCTGTTTCGCTGTGCTGTCGCTCATAGGGTAATAGAGACGACACGCTTGGACTTTCTCAACACCCGCGCGGTGCCCATTGCGCCCAGGTGCTTCGGCCGCGCGCGCTCGCCGCCACCAGCGATGGCGCACCATGGGCTTGCCGGCGCCGCTGCCTCGCCGCTGCAGCCGCCGGGGAGGCAGCAGTGCATATGACGACGCACACTGACGGTCGGCCTTCTCATGCACAGGTCAGGGCTGGCTGTCCCAGCACATGCATGGCGAACAGCGGTCCCCTTGCAGCAGCGCAAAGCTTGCCGTGAAACCTTTGCTTCACTGCCTTCCAAGCGTCTGCCCCCATTGTGCATGTGCACACGCATGCGCGCGCACGCACATACATGTACATGCGTGCTCTTGCGTGCGCGCGCGCGCACACACACACAAGCGCACGCATGCACACCAACACACACACACACACACACACACACAACCCCAAGATGACAAATCGCCGCCCCACCACCGACGCAGGCCGTCCTCGACCGCTGTGCAGCCGCCCTGTCGGAATACCGCGCCCACAAGGCCGCGGTGGGCGCCTGGCTGCACGCGTTCCCCGCCTCCAACGGCGGCCGACGCCCCGGGCTGCTCGATGCGCAGGCCACGGGCGACCCCGTGCTCGCGTCCCGTTTCCAGCAGTACCTGCAGGTTCGGCAGCGCCTGCTGGCAGAGCTGCCCGCGCTCAGGCGCGAGTACGAGGGAGCACTCGACGCCGACGCGCGCGAGCGGCGCCGCGGTGGCGGCGGCGCACAGCGCGCGGCTGCGGGGGCGGCGGCGGGCGTGCCGGGCGCGAATGCGAACGCGGCCGTCGGGCGGACCCCCGCGCAGGCCGCGCAGCAGTGGTCGGCGGCAGTGCAGTACCGGCGGAGCCACCCAGCAAGGCCGCTGGGCGAACCCCAGCAGCGAGGCGCGGCGGCAGCGGCGGCGGAGGTGGCGGCAGCGCCGATCAGCATTGTGGGCGTCGCGGCGCCGGCTGCGCCTCGGCAGCGATCTGCAGCTGAGGAGGCTTCAGGCGCCCCCGGCCGCGAGCTGGCGCAGCTCGCGGAAAAGGCCTCCTCTGCCTCTGCCTCTGACCCCTCGACCCGCATGCGATCGGCCGCGCTCGCAGCCTTGCAATACAAGCAGCGCGCGGCCGGTGCCGGGGCGGGCGCGCGCGCCGGCGCGCCCAGCGGCGGCGGCGGCGCTGCGAGCGCGGTGCTGCAGGCGCCGGTGCCGCCGCGCCCAAAGGCGGGCGAGCCGGCCGTGATCGCTGTCGTCGAAACGGCCAAGTTCAACCCCTTGGTCGGGCGCAAGGCGCGGCAGCTGGACGCAGACACACGGCTGGACGTGGTCATGAGTGATGGCGGCGCGGCGGTTGGGCCGACAGCTGCGCCGCAGCTCGCAAGCCAGTTGGTAGGAGTCGCAGCGGCGCCGGCGCACGCGCCGGCCCAGGCGCAGGCTGAGACCAACGAGACAGGCGGTGATGGCAGCGCGCTCGCCCCTGCGGATGCCGTTTCGCCGGCACCTGGTGCAACCAGGGCTCAGCAGGCGAAGCCACACCCGGCGCGGCCGGTGCGCGCTGCCGCATTGAGCGGCACGGACTGTGTGCCGCCGCTGGTGATGGCTCCTGGGGCGGTGCCCCTGCCGACTTGATGCCCCTGCGTGTGTATGCGCACATGGACTTTCAGGGTTTTGGACATGGTTTTGGTACCATTGCATGTCCCCGCTTGTATATCATTGTTCGCTTGCTGTATATGTTCAGGCATTATTCATGCTTCGTTGAGCACAACACCGATGCCTCAAACGTGGACAAACCAACCCTCAGCTTGAGGTGCAATGGCGCCCCCAATGTGCTTCCGCACCAGGAGGGGCGGGCTGGTGTAAATGTGACCGCATGCTTTGCAGAGCTGTAACAGTTGTGACAGCTATGACCACCAGTTGCGACCAGCATGCGCCGACACGGGATATTATGCAGCGGCCGCCCCTCACTGTGTAGGGTGCCCTGTCGCATGGTACGATTGTGCATTGCCCACGAACCTACAGCTGTTTCGACCATCAGGTTTTCGTACATTACTCATTGTTGAAGCATGACAAGGCCGGCTGGTTTGGCCAGTTGAGAGTCCATACTCTGTTGGAATCAGGGCGTAGGCTCAGGGTCCCAGTTGCCCCACTACCTCACGTATGGGGGCGGCCACGCGAACCGGCAAGATGCAGCGCGCTGGTCAAACCAGAAGAGCCACTGACGGGCTGATGCGATGTTTGCAGGTCGTGGGGTTCGGACGCGTTCGCGTCGTGTGTAGGGGTTGAGTGGGCAGTCATGCGGGTGCGTGAGGGTGGGCAGTGCGGTGATGGGCGGGCGTAGAAATCTCTACGCTCTGAAGTGCAGCGGGACAAATGCAGAGTCCTGCGGCGTGTGCGCCTGGTCATGGGCGGTGGCACAAGCGCCACCAGCACAACCGTGGAGCAGGGGCACGGCAAGCGAGCCGGCAAGCGTTCCACCCGGCCCTTGCAGCACAGCAAGCACCCACACCCACAAAGTCGAGGGTAACGCCCCACCCGCTGAGCCGGCCGGTGGCGCAGCAAACACAACACGCGCACCTTGAAGGTACACAGACAGTGCAGTGAGGGCCCAAAGCACACACCCAGGAGACATGCCTGGCCCTGGGCCCTGGGGCCGGCCTGTCCAAGGCACAGGCGTCGGTGCAGCAGGTTTGGCCGCCAGCAGCAGCGGTAGCGCGGTATCTGTGCAATCTGCGCCCTCGCTCCCCTCCCCCCGCCAGCGCCCCATGTTAGCAAGGCCATAACGGCGCAGGGGTGTTTGCCCGGGGCCCCTTGGCACCCCCGCGCCGCAGGCGGCGGACGCAAGGGGTGGCGGGGCCGTGGATGGTTGGGCGGGTGCGGCGTACAACGCTCCCCACGCAATAAGTGCGGGTAGAGGGGCATCCCTGAGAAGTGAAGGAACACTGATACAATCCTGAAATCGAGCAAGCCTTGCTGCGCCCGGGGTTGCTTTGCCTTGCTTTGTTACAGCCATTGAGGCCGCCTGGCTGGCGCCAGCTGGACTCCTCCCGCAACTGTGTACCACCGGTCAGAAATAACAAGGGCTAACTGTATACTAGCCACCCAGTACACACGGCAACCAACATAATACACAACAAACCAGAATATCGTTGCAGGCATACAAACGGAACAATGAGGGCGCACACCCAGGTGACATGCCTGGCCCCGGGCCCTGGGGCCGGCCTCTTGAAGGCTGCGGCGACGGTACCGCGGGACCCGCGCCCCCGCCCCCCCGCCGGCGCCCCACTTACTAGGGGGTAAAAAACCGAAATACTAGGGGCTTTTGCTTGCTTTGC